CTCTGAGATACCATCTTACTCCTGTCAGAATGGCTAGAATCAAAAACACCGAAGACAATTTATGCTGGAGGGGATGTGGAGAGAGAGGAACACTCCTCCACTGCTGGTGGGAGTGCCGACTCATACAGCCTCTTTGGAAATCAGTATGGAGATTCCTCAGGAAAATGGGAATTAATCTACCACTAGACCCAGCAATTCCACTCTTAGGCATTTATCCAAATGAGGCAGGTTCATACAACAAGGGCATCTGCTCCACTATGTTCATAGCAGCATTGTTTGTAATAGCCAGAACCTGGAAGCAACCTAGATGCCCCTCAACTGAAGAGTGGATAGAGAAAATGTGGTACATTTACACAATGGAGTATTACTCAGCAGAAAAAAACAATGGAATCTTGAAATTCGCAGGGAAATGGATAGCACTGGAAGAAACCATCCTGAGTGAGGTAACCCAGTCGCAAAAAGACAAACATGGTATGTACTCACTCATATATGGATTTTAGACATGGATCAGGATAGTGCCAGTCTGCACTTCCACAGATAGAGAGTCTGAGAAACAGGAAAGAACCTAAAAGATATGCATATATGCATAGTACCCAAGAGAAGAGGATGGAGACAAGATCCTCTGAATGGATGGGGAACAGGGCGAGGGGGGTAGTGGGACCTGGGAAGAATAGAGGGGGTAAAGAGGAAGGGAGTTGGTCATGGGGGAACAGGAAGTTGAGGGGGTGGGGGTAGAATAGGGGAAGAGGGAATCATAGGATCGAAGACAGATCAGGCACCAGAGTGACCTCGAGTGATCTAAAGGTATAACATCAATTGGCAAGCTAAGCAATAGTGGAGGGACCACCTCGAATGCCCATTCCTGATAATGAACTTGATGTCTATAACTATCCGGGAGCCTTCATCCTGGGACTGATGGAAGCAGAGGCAAACACACAGCTAAGCACTGAACTGAACCCAAGGAACCCAGTGACAGAGAGAGAGGAATGATGAGCAAATTGGCAAAGAATGGGCTGGCAAAACCAGCAGAGACAGCTGATCTGAACAGGGGAGTGCTCTTGGACCCCAGACCGACAGTGGGGAGGCCAGAATGGGACTGATCTGGACCCCCCAAATGTGAGTGTCAGTGAGAAGGCCTGGACAACCTATGGGGCCCTGAGCTGTGGATCAGTGTCTATCCCTGGTATACAATCTGTCTTCATGTGCCTATAGCACAAAGAGAGATGCTCTCTCAGCCTGGACTCTTAGGGGAGTACCTTGACCCTACCAAGAGTAAAATGATAGACTCTAGACATCCCCTATGTGGAAGGATTTGGCAATAGGGTGGGAGGGAGGGTGGAAGGGGAGTGCGGGAGGAGGGGAGGGAGAGGGAACTGGGATTGACATGTAAAACAAGCTATTTAAAATTAAAATAAAAAAAATACACAAAGGAGGACAATAAAGAAAAGAACATTAATTACATCACCTTAAAGCCCATACTTTACACCTCATGTATCATATTACCAGAGAACAAGCTAGACATATAGTAAAAATCTGTTCAGAATGCATCCAATATTTACCTGTACCCCATTTGGGAGTTAATCCTCAGGGACTTGTGCCCAATGTTCTCTGGCAAATGGATGTTACCCATCTTACAGAATTTGGACATCTTAAATTTATTCATGTTAATATAGCTACATATAGTGGTTTTATCTTTGCCTCTCTTCAAACCGAAGAAAGCACTAAACATGTAATCAGCCATTTGTTAGCTGCATTTTCTGTCGTGAGCACTCCTCAACAAGTCAAGACTGATAATGGACCTGGACACACCAGTGCCAATTGTAAGACCTTCTGCAAAAAATTACCTATTAATCATGTCACTGGAATTCCATATAATCCTCGAGGACAAGGTATAGTAGAAAGAGCTAAACTTACACTCAAGCTAATTAAAAGGGGGAACTTGGTACTCCACCAAAGGCATGCCAAGGAATATTCTGACACATGCTCTTTTATTAATTTTTTAACTTTGGATAATGATGGAAAATCTGCTGCCACACAGTTTTGGCACTCTGATAAACAGAAAACCTTTGCCACAGTCATGTGGAAAGACCCCTTAGACAACACTTGGCATGGACCTGATCCAGTCCTAATATGGGGACGAGGTTCAGTTTTCATATACTCCAAAGAAATGAAATCTGCCAGATGGCTTCCAGAAAGATTAAACAAATAGGTGATAACATAACTCATTCCAGGAGGAATTGCCCCTCCTGAGAATTTTATTCCTTTCTGTTTTCCAGAAATGAAGATCCATGTCATACTCGGGACTGTCCTCCTATTGACCCCCCTTTTCAGAAGAAGGATTCAGGGCGCCCCCCAACCCAAAGGAGTTGATGAAAGCATTATTTGGAGCTCCATGTGAATGCAGAGGAGGAACTGCTGGTGTTATACACACAAGTAGCTCTTACCACTAGACACACTGACTGCGGAAATAAAATGGCCTATCTAATTATAGTACCTGCTAGTAATGGAGGCTTTGATCAAAACTGGGTATGTGTTAATAAACCTAAAAGCATTCCTAAGGTCAATGGACAACCAGAACCATGTCCAGTAGGATGCAATTCTGTGGACCAAATGAATGTCATGTGCTACAGCACGTTCCAAGAATGCACACATAATGGTCTTACTTATTTTACTGCCACACCCTTAAGAACTTATTCTGGCAGTGTTGAGGAGATTGGTCTATTAACCCCCAGGTGCTTGGCAATTATAAATACACTGCAGCCTCCTGCCGTGCTGCTCCAGGAAAGCCAGCATGCTGGAACAAGGTAGCTCCCATTCATGTTTCTGATGGAGGCCCCACAGATATGGTTAGAGAACCCAAGGTTCAAGAAAAGAGTCAACATATAATTGACTCCATGATTCCTCATATAGATTATCACCCATTATTACTTCCCAAGTCTAAAGGCATGGATATTGATCCTCAGACCTCGAAAATATTGTCAGCTACCCATTATGCTTTAAATATCACTAATCCCCATCTGGTTATGTTTGACCTTGGGAACCTCATGGCCTCTGGCAATTCTAGTGTTACAAAATTTCTCAGTACCTGTTGATGGTTCCCTGCCAGTTAATAATTGTTTGCTTAGCATTCCTTTTAAGACACAACCCACAGGATTTAATCATTCCTTATGCTTTTATAAACATTTTAAAAATAACAGTTCAGGACCAAGTTGACTCCCTAGCAGAGGTAGTCCTGCAGAATAGGAGAGGCCTCGATTTGCTTACAGCAGACAAGGGAGGCATTTGTTTGACTTTGCAGGAAAAATGCTGCTTTTATGCTAATAAATCAGACACTGTTCAAGACTGAATCAAAAAACACCAAGAGGAGCTTGAAAAATGCCACAGAGAACTGTTTGATCAGCACATTTGGAGTGCTTGGAATGGACTTCTGCCCTATCTTCTTCCCGTGTTAGGCCCCCTGCTTGGCTTATTAATTATCCTATTGCTAGGACCCTTTCTCTTTAATAAACTGATGGCTTTTGTTAAGAGTCAAATGGATGCTATCAAGATGCAGCCTATACAAGTGCACTATCACCGTCTTGACATGGCCGATATGGGAGACAGCTGTGATGAACCTTAATCCCATACTACTTAAATTATGTAGCTATGATATCACTTTTGATTCATCTCCTCCTTGGTGAGCTGAGCTGGTTAGTCAATGATGGGCAACAGAGGAAGGACAGAGGGTGTCCCATCCTGATGGCTTCCTAAGACAGGAATGCTCATCATGCAATGTCATCTCCAATGATGGGTAGGGCTATTGCACACTCCTGATCCACAAGATCCTCTGACCTAAGACAGGCATGGCCCCCTCAAGGATATCCCAGCTTATGCCCTTTTTAGTTTATACAAAAAAAGGGGGACCTGTGGAGGGCCCTAAATAAGGATAGCATAATAGAAGCCATCTTAATATTCATACTGTATTCTTAGAGACTAGCACTTAGTTAAGTTTCTGTTTCTCTGTGCCTGCTTATCTTCCTGTACAGGATATTTTCAAGGCCTGCAGCCCAGGCTCTCATGCCCTTTGGCCACCAGACTCCCCCAGCTGCAGACTTGTGTCCTTGGAACATACCCTGTCAAGGAAAACTTCTGCTCCCCCACCCTTCTGCTACTTGCCCTACTTAATCCCTATTGGTACTTTTTATAAACAAGACTTGATCAGAATCCTGTCTTGTCTCCATCTCTCACGTCTCTTGTTCCCCCATTCTCACTCACTCCCTCCCTTAAGGTCCCCATTGACTGATCCCACAGGCCGAGGCAGCATTCCTTGTGGGGTTCCCTGATAAAGAAAGATAGAGAAGAGGAGATGCTCTCTTGTTTATTGTAAAAATGTAGTCTTTATAAGGACAATTATCCTGTGGCATTTGTTTAGGGACTGTGAAGATATAATCCTGCTCTCAACTCATTTACTGTCACTCCAGTTTGGTGTCTTAACACCCAAATTCCTAGAATGAGTGTACGGAAGAAGCCCTGTGGTCCAGTATTTCTAGAGCCAAGGAGTTGCCTTTGGTGCCATGTGACACTTCTTTCTCTCTCCTCTCTGTCTTCTCTTTGCTTCCCTCCCCACCCCTCTCTGCCTTTCCTGTCCCATCCCTGATTCATCTGTCCCATCCCCTTTCCCCTCTATCTGACCCTATACCCTATGTGTCTGAGGCTGACATATTTTTTTGTTTTTTGAAAAAAGACGGTTTCTGTAATAGTCTTTCCTGTATGGAGCTCACTTTTTAGACCAGGCTTGCCTTGAACTCAAGAGATCTGCCTGGCTGGCCTGGCCTCTTCCTCTCTATACCAGAATGCTGGGATGAAATGCATGGCTGGGCACATCACCCACTCTTCAAGGTGCTCCCCTAATGGCAATGTCTTTCCCATTAATCCCCAGCTTCCATGGCTAGACAGAATGTTGTTCTCTAAGGATCTAGTTATGTTTGTAGACAGGGAATACAGTTACCAAAGCCTAGTTCTTTGATAGGTTCTTTATTAGAGGGTACAGTGTGTGGTGAACACAACCAGGTATGCAGGGATGGTGTAGGCAGTAAATGAGGTGACAAGTCTAACACCAAATGTTTTTGTTCTCCTTGTTGTTAGAGCCTTGGAGAAGCAGATGGTGGCCTCTCAGTCACTGTTGCAGATCAAGTCCTCAAGGCTTTGTCTTCATCTGCAGAGAAACAAGAAAAGAAGTTTCCAGGAGCTCATCACCCCACTCCTGACAATCTGTAACCAAAAGACACTGGTGGCCCTCCCACAGGTGCAGACTCAGGGTTGAGAGTCAAAGCACACAAAAGTACATGGGGTTGCCCAAACTGCTGGGACACGCTTATAATAAAAAATTATTCATCCTGTGGCTGGGGTGCTGGTTTGATTGGTAAAGCAGTTGCCACAGAAGTAGAAGGTCCTGAGTTCTAATGCCCAGAGCTCATGCAAAAAGCAAGGTGTGGGGTGGCAGAGATGGCTCAGAGGTTAAGAGCACTGGCTATTCTTCCAGAGGACCTGGGTTCAATTCCCAGAACCCACATGGTGTCTCACAACTGTTTGTAACTCCAGTTCCAGGGAATCTGAAACACTCAAGTCAGTGTACATAAAATAAAATTAAGTGTGTTTTAAAGAAAAGTAAGGCATGGTTGGGGCATCTGAAACATTATTGGGGATTTGGGGAGCACAGATTCCCAAAACTTGTTGGTTGGGCAGTCAGACTAGCTAAAGGTGAATGTTGTACTTATTGAAAAACCCAGCTGTAGGTGGACTTTTTAGTGAGGCCTACCAGCTCCCCCCAAAAATCCAACAAAGCTTTATTATTAATTATAAATGCTTGACTGATACCTCCGGCATCTTACTGTTGGGTCCCAGCCCCCCAGATTTCTGTGCATTGCTTTTCAGATAATACCATCCTGCTCTCTAGTCCTGACTTACAGCCCCAGCCTTATCTACCTGACATCAATATCTAGCACTAGGAGAACATGAGCTCTTACACCTGGGGTTTCTCCACTGTGCTGTAAGCCTGTGTATAAGGTTGCTCCCTCTTTATAGAGGGAGAGAGACATCTTAGCACTTGCAATAAAGACACACACACACACACATTCTCTGGCAATAACGGTGGCAGACGCATTCTCTTAGCACAAACGGTTAGATGTCTTGTCTTTCATTTCCCGATATCTCATTGTTCGTGGCACAGATGCCCCAATTGGATGTTCCACCGAGATCAGGAAAGAAAGTCAGAGAGACCTGAACTGTTGGCGTGGTGGGGCTCAAGCTGCTGCAGCTGCGCCACTGCCAGAGTAGCCTTGAGCTCCAGACACCCAGTGCTTCTCCATGACTGGTCAACAGGAATTGAAAACAGGTACCAGTTAGAAATCGGGAAAGAAAGGACAGGACTCAGGAAAAAAATAAATAAGATTGGAAAGAAACGAGAAAGGAGACTCAGGAAAGAAAGGGGTGGAAAACAGATTGATTAACGCTCCAGGCCTTCACCCGACACTGAGATGGGGAAAGAAAGGAGAACCTGCTTTCCATTTTATATTTTTAGCTTCTTTGTCAAAAATTAGGTGTTCATAAGTCTGTGGGATGATATCAGGGTCTTTGATTTGATTCCATTAGTCCACCTGTCTGCTTTTATTCCAGTACCAAGCTGTTTTCCTTACTGGGATAGTGATACCTCCCGAAGTTCTTTATTGTACAGGATTGTTTTGTCTATCCTGAGTTATTTGTTTTTCCATATGAAGTTGAATATTGCTCTTTCAAGATCTGTGAAGAATTGTGCTGGGATTTTGATGTGGATTGCATTGAATCTGTAGATTACGTTTGTTAGGGTTGGCATTTTTACTATGTTGATCATAACGCCTTCTTTCTATATGATGCATTCAACTTGCTTCTTTGTGTGTATCTCCAGACCCCTCCCACTCCTTCCCAGCAGTCTTTCCTCCCTAAAAATCTTGCCTAGCTATTGGCCAATCAGATTTTTATTAACCATGAGAGCAATACATATTTACAGTGTGCTAAGATTTTTCCACAGCACTTCACACTTTGTTTAATTAAAAAAGGAATGTTTAACTTTGACATAGTAAAATTATATACAACAAAAACAGTTATCAGGTAAGAATTACAGTTACAATATACAGTTCATTTTTATTTGGAAAATTTAGAGAAAATAATCTTATCTAAAGTTTTATTCATGATTTACCTCAATTGTTTGTCACAATTAAGGAAAACTTTTTGTCTAATTAACTCCATCAAAGACCCCAGAAGAGTGAAATGTTACCTAACAACAGGGACATCTGGTGGCCTGGACATTCACCTAAACTTCTTCTATAACATTGTGGTATCCATCCTTGGCCTACAGGCCTATTATATCTGACAGATTTTTCTAAGAAGCAGAAACTTTGAATGACTATCCTACCTTGTCTTGGATGGGTTTGGCAATCGCCTTCTTTTGGGTCCTGCTGGTCCAGTCTGTACAGTATACTGTCAGCAATTGAAGCGAGGGAGTTTATTTGTCCACACAGCTAGCTTTTGCTATACAGAAAGCAAAGTCCATGCAGAGTCCCTTGGATGTCATCATCCTCTTTTGAAGCAAATCAGTGCTGTTAGGAGCAGATGTGCCTCACTGTCATGAACAGGCTTAGGTCATTAAACATATTAAATGCCATATTCTGTAGGTCTTTGGAGTGTTTAAAGACTATGCATACATCTAAATATATCTGTTTAACCCTAAAAACATACCTAATATGACTACAAATCTGATTACTATATTTGACTATTAATCTGTATATCTTAGTTATACATTACATTTTATAAACAAGCTGTATAAACACATACAGTATAACAAAAATCAACTTTATATTTGTATCCGTAAACCAAAGTCCACACCAATGAAAAATATTTGGAGATTAATAGTTGTTTTTTTAGTAAAGTAGATCCAGTAATCTACCCTTTTATCTCATCATTTCTACACCCTATCCCTTCTGTCCCTGACAAAGAGATGTTTGAATTTAACTCTTTTGTTTAGCTTTTTACTGACTATGACCAATAACAACTTGTAACCAAACCCCCTAAACAATGACAAACATATACAATCCATTGTATAACCCAAGCCCACCCATACTCCACCTCTTGGGAATGTGTGCCTTGTTCTCTAGACTACTCCATGTTGTCTGTGGGTACTGGTATCTTTGGGTAAAACTTGAGAAAGTTAGGGTAATTGTTAAATCTTGGCTGGTGTTTTCTGTGAGGTTGGATCATCTCATCCAGTAGGTTAGAAGCTATTCTGGATGCTGAATGTCTTGGACCATCCATTTTTAGTGGTGTCTGGTCTCCTAGCTCTGAAAATACACAAACTTTTGAAGGTAACATACGTATCTGCATTAATACAAGTATAGATTACGCATTGTACACAAAGTAGCCAAAGGTGATTTTTCATTCTGTGGTTGAGAAAGTAAATTATACATCATATGTTGTGGTAGTTTGAATGTATTTGACACCATAAGCCCATAGGGAGTGGCACTATTAAGAGGTGTGGGCGTGTTTGAGGAAGTGTGGACTTGTTGGAGGAGAAAGGAGGAGGAGCAAGGACAAGGAGAGAAGGATGCACTTTGAAATGCACTTCCTGTTAACTCAGGTAATATATCCTTCTGGTTTCTTGGCTGGAGGTAAAGACTAGATAGTTATAGTTACAGTTTTCCTTAATAAAGAAAGTAAATGAGCTATGAAACTTTGGAGGCACTAAGAGAAGATAGATAATTGAGATTTTCTCTGAATTTGTTAAATACAAATGGACTAAATTTTGTAAATTTAATTCTTGTTTGGTAACTGTTTCTGTTGTATATAGTTTTACTATGTTAACATTAAAACCTTTCATTTTTATTTAGACAAAAAGGAGGAAATGTTATGAAATACCATTTTAAGACGTGTTACATTTGTTTGTGCTGTGAAACATTTGTTTAATGATGCACAGATGTGTTGCATTCTTTATGTTGCATTTGTTTAACTCTGTGAAGCTGTGTTACTGTGCCTATCTAAACCACCTTATTGGTCTAATAAAGAGCTGAATGGCCAATAGCAAGGTAGGAGAGGGATAGAGAGACTAGATAGGATAATGAGAAAAGGAGTGAGAACACCAGGAGGCAGCCACCTAATACAGCAAGCCATGGTGTAAGAAGTAAAGGCAGGTATACAGAATAGAGAAAGGTAAAAGCCCAGAGGCAAAAAGTAGATGGCATAATTTAAGCAAGGCTGGCTAGAAACAAGTCAAACTAAGGTCAGGCAGGTAAAAGGAAGAATAATATTCTGCTTCATTTATTTGGGAGCTTGGTGGTGGGCCCCCAAAGAACACAGAGCCAAAGGAGTAAAAGACAAAAAAATAATAACTACACCACAACTACAAGCCTGGTCTACTAATGATTCCTGGACACCAGGGAACACAAAGACACCCTATCATCAAAAACCAAAAAAGAAAAACGAATGAAAGGAACAAAGAATACAAATGCCCAACAGCTGTACCCACAGGCCAATGTGATACAGGCAATCCTTCAGCTAGACTCTCCCTCCCAAGTGTGTGAAGCTAACCATCAACCATTACAGGGGCTGGAGAGATGGCTCAGCACTTAAGAGAACTTCCTGCTCTTGCTGGGTATCAGAGTTCAATTCTCAGCAACAACATCGTCACTGGTGAACAATGTCTCTGTCGGAATGCTATCTTGCCTCCAGGTTGGCCATCTCTCATGTACCCTCCTTTTTAGCACCTGCAAATCTCCTTCCCCCACTTGTCACTTCTTTCCTGGATGAAAACCTTGTAGCGGGTGAGTTGAATTGGTTATCTCCATGTTCAGTCTCCTTCTACCCTTCCAGCAGGACTCTCTCTGGACAACCACAACCAGCTACTACCAGTCACTGTGCCTTTGCATTGGGCTATAGCTTCACCTGTGACTCATCAGATCTGATCTAGGAAAGGAGAAGGCCAGAGATTTGGGACAGGAGTGGGCATGGGGGTGGGGTGGAAAGGTGGAGGACTGGACAGTTGTTCACTAAAGCAGGAGAGACTGACTGAGAACAACGTAGCCTTAAACCAACCAGTGAGACACTTCATTCATAAATCTCGTTGACCAGAGAACCAGATATTAACCTGGCTTCACTTGTTGTTTACTATGATAGAGAAAGGTTTAGAATATGAAATGATATTTTTTGTTTATTGCAAAAAGCTAAGATTCTGTGTACTTTAGCTGGACAATTGTCCTGTTTTCTGGTTTACACACAGTGAAGACTCAAAGGCCACCAGGATGTAATCCTTAGTCCACTTTGGTCTCCTGCATCCACGTTCCTATAATGAGCACACAGCAGAAGCGCTCTGAGTTCAGTATTTCTAGGGCAAATGTCCCTAAGTGTCCATGTGACAGTGGATCTTTCTCTCTTCTCTCTTCTCTCTTCTCTCTTCTCTCTTCTCTCTTCTCTCTTCTCTCTGTCTCATGTTTTCTTCCCTCCTCCCTCTTCCCCCTCATTTCCTGTTCCTATCCCTGCTTCATATTTTCCCTCCTTCCCCTTAAGTCTGCCCCTACTCCCTATGTATCTCAGACTGAGTTGTTCTTTTGTTGTAGTTGGATTTTTTGAAGCAATGTTTCTTTATGTAATAGTACTGCCTGCCCTAGATCTCTCTTTGTAGACCAGGTTGGCCTTGAATTCAAGAGATTTGCCTTCTTCTACTTCTATATCTCAGAATGTTGGGATAAAAGGCATGGCTGGGCTCATCACCTACTGTTTAAGGTGCTCCCCTAATGGCGATGTCTTTCCTAATAATCCTCAGCTTCTAGGGCTAAATGAATGATGTTCTCTGAGGATCTAGTTATGTTCTATAGACAGAGAATACAATCACCAAAGCACTGTTCTTTGCTAGGTGATTCATTAGAGGGTGTTGCATAGTGAACATAACATTTCACAGACACACATGCAGGTAAAACACTCATATACATAAAATAAAAATCAGTATTTTCTAAAAGAATGAGAAAATTCAAATTGCCAGAGCACCTTAGAGCAAGGGAAATAGATGTCAGGGCAATATGGCAGAGGCAGAAGGGATTTCTTTGCTTGGGTTCATGAATGGGTGAACTTTTCTAAGGGGTCATCTGAATTCAGACCAAGATGCTAAAGGTAGCAGTTATTGTGGACATGGGGATGAGCAGGGAAACATCAGGCAGAGGTTATTAGACCCTCCAAAACCCCAAACCACAACTTTGGGTGTGACCAGTGGGGGTCTGTGCATCACAGATAATGGTGGGGAAGTCAGTGGGGACAAGGGTCCTACCTGTGAGTAGAATGACCAGCAAAATGAGTTTCATCTTGAGTGTGGGGAGGACTCAGGTGACTTTTCCTTTTATAGTCCTGTAGCTGTGCTCTGACAGTGTCCAGTAAGCAAATGGGTGTGTGACTAGTGTGTGTGTACAGAAGGAGAATGGGTCCACCCTCACAGACAGTCCAGACCAGCAGAGCTACTGTAGATGGTGACAGAGTACCAATCAGTGATGTCACAGAGATGAAGAGAAAGGGTTGGCTCAACACCCCCACAGCAGCTTGTTGCTGTTTTTCTTGTCCAGCCAACCTGGTCCTGCTGCTGCTCAGCCCCCAAATAAACACACTGACACTATATTAATTATTACACTGTCGACCGATGACTAGGGATTCTTATTGGCTTACTCTGTCTTAAATATTGACCCATTTCTATCTATCTGTGTATGGCCATGGGGCTGTGACCTATCCGGTAATGCCCAGCATATTGTTAATCCTCCAGCAGCATGGAGACTCTGTGTGGAGTGCTCATGCTGCCTACCTTTCCCAGAATTCTCCTTGTCTCCCAAACCCACCTATTTGCCTGCCTCGTTGGCCAAACAGTGTTTTATTCATTAACCAATAAGAGAAATATGCATACAGGAGGACAGGCAGTTCAAATGCAGACATTGATGAAGTGCCAAGTCCCTCCCTTGTGGATACTTGAAGGTCCTAAGAAAATATAGACACTGCTCCTGGGGTTGGTGTTGAGGGATACTGATAGTGATGTGTGGGCCCAGAAAAGAGTAGGTGGCCTCAATAATCCTCCATGTTAACTGTATAAACCAAGTGCTAAGTCTGTCCCAAGATCAGACACAGACTTTGAAGTAACTAAGTAACTAACTAAACTAACTAGTGTGTGTGAGACAGGGAGGGAGAGAGACAGAGACAGAGAGAGAGAGAGACAGAGACAGAGAAAGAGACAGAGAGAGCATATGAGCATATAAACATGTGTGTGCACATGTGGAGGACAGAGGACAACTCTGTGGAGTCAGTTCTCTCCTACCTTTCAATGGTTTCCAGGTGTTCAGGCTTGCATCATAGGCTGCATGTTACTAGGCTACAAATTCCACTTAAAAACTGGGCATGTAGTGAATGGTGACAGTTCACGCCTTTAACATCAAAACTCAGGAGGCAGACAGAGGCTAATATCTGAGTTCCAAGACAGTGAGAGATACACGAAGAAACCCTGCCTCAAAAAAAAACAAAAATTAAAAAGAAGACAGAAAGCACTTGCCCAACAGCTGTACCCACAGGCCAATGTGATGCAGGGAATCCTTCAGCTGAGGCTCTCCCTCCCCAGTGTGTGAAGCTGACAATCAACCATTACAGGGGCTGGAGAGATGGCTCAGCTCTTAAGAGCACTTTCTGCTCTTGCTGAGGACTGGAGTTCGATTCTCAACAACCACATGGTGTATGGGGAACAATGTCTGCTGGACCTGTGTACTCTGGCCTCTGTTTTGGCCACCTCTCATGTACTCTCTCCCTTGGCACTTAAGCACCTCCTTTTTCCCACCTCTCACCTCTTACCTGGATAAAAATCAGGTACGGGGTGAATTTAGTAGTTTGTCTCCATGTTCAAGCACCTTCTATGCTTCCAGTGGGACTCTGGACAGCTCCTACCAGCTCCTACCAGACACTCTGCGCAGGAGACTCTAGCAGAACTTGTTGCTCACCACACCTGACGTTCGGAGGGGCAGAGCCTGAGCTTTGGAATAGGAGTGGTAATGTTAATGGGGGTGGAAAGGCAGAGGACTGTAAATGGAAGTTTCTGTTCTACCTGGTCCTGCAGCAGCTTAGCCCCAAATAAATACACAGAGGCTTATATTAATTATAAACCATTTGACAGATGGCTCAGCCTTCATATTGGCTAACTCTCTCTCTCTCTTAATTATTAACCCATAACTATTAATCTATGTATCTACTCATGGTCTTGGCTTACCAGAGAATGCCTGGGCATCCTACCTTCCCAGTACCTACATGGCATCTCCTTGGCTCTATCCATGTATGGATTTCCCACCTGGCTAAATCCTACCTCTCCGTTGGTTGAAACAGATTTATTCATCAACCAATAAGAGAAACATATATTCACAGCATACAGAAGGACATCCACCATCAACTACTCTTTTCTGTCTAAATAAAAAGATATATTTTAACTTTAACATAGTAAAATTATATATATCAAAACAATTTTCAAGCAAGAACTGTAGTTAGCAATATTTGGGCTACTAACATTTGGCAAAATTTAAAAAATATTTTATCATCTGTCCCAATCTTTGTGAGTCTAAAATTTTATAGGTAACTTATCTTTTATCATAGCTAAGGAAAACCATAACCATAACTATCTGTCTTCAACTCCATAAAGACCCCAGAAGGATAAAATAGAATTGACAGAGATATCGCTGTGCCTGGACAGTCACCCAAAGTTCCTCTGTAACTTTAGGGAATTCCCTCTTCAACCTATAGGTCCAGATGTCTGGCAGACTTTTTGATAAAGCAGGAACCTTGAAGGTCCACCCTGTCTCTTGGAAAGTTCAGCAGTCTATTTTCTTTGTAACCTGCTTGTCCGGTTTGTACAGCATAGTGTCATATAGTCCAAACAAGAGGAGTTTCTTGTCCAAAATGCTATCCCTGCCATGTGTAAGGCAAACTCCATCTTCCTCTATGAATAAATTGGTGTTGCCAGGATCAGTTGTGTCATGAAAACCCCTAATAAACTATTTTAAATACCATATTCTGTAGGTCATGAAAGTTTTTGCAAAATACCTATCCATCTGAATTATATCTCTGCATATCTAGAAAATTTAACTAACATAACTATAAATTTTGACTATTACAAGTGACTACCTATATTTTGTATTTAATTATACATTACATTTTAAATGAGCTGTATAAACTAAACAAGAGAAATATACATATAACAAAATTGACCTTAAATTTGTATCAATAAACCAAAATCCATACCAATGCAAAGTATACATTTCCATATCATATTATCCTTTTTTTCTTTAGAAATTGGCTGTCAGCCAGGTGGTGGTGGTGCACGCCTTTAATCCCAGCACTCAGGAGGCAGAGGCAGATGAATTTCTGTGAGTTCAAGACCAAGAGCTAGTTCCAGGGCAGTCTCCAAAGCCACAGAGAAACTCTGTCTCAAAAAACCTAAGAGTGGAGAGAGAAAATGTGGTACATTTACACAATGGAGTACTATTCGGCAGAAAAAAAGACAATGGAATCCTGAAATTTGCAGGCAAATGGATGGCACTAGAAGAAACCATCCTGAGTGAGGTAACCCAATCACAAAAAGAGAAACATGGCATGTACTCTGTCATATATGGATTTTAGACATAGATCTGGGGAGTGCCAGCCTACAATCCCATGGCCAGAGAGTCTGGGAAATAGAACCTTCATTCAGTGGCTAATGGAAGAAGAGGCAGACTCCCACGGCTAAGCACTGAGCTGAACTCAAGAAATGCAGTGACAGAGAGGGAGGACTGATGACCAAAGGAATTAAGACTGGGCTGGTTTAACCCCCAGAAACAGCTGACCTGACAAGGGTTAGCTCTTGAATCCCAGGCTGATGCCTGGGAATCCAGCATGGGACTGATCAAATCCCCCTGAATGGGGGTGTCAGTGAGGAGGCCTAGGTAATCTATTGAGCCTTGGTAGTAGATCAGTATTTATCCCGGGTATACAAATGGACTTTGGGTGCCCATCCAACAATGAGAGATGCACTCTCACCCTGGACTCTTGGGGGAGGGTCCAGGCCCTGCCCTGGATGAAATGACAGACTATGGACACCCCCATGGGTGGCCTCACCCTCCCTGGGGAAATGAGGGGATATTATGGGGGTTGGTGGGAGGGCACGGGAGGAAGGGAGGGAAAGGGAGAGGGACCTGGAATTGACATGTGAACAACCTAACCTTGTTTCTAATTTAAATTTAAATAAAATAAAATATAAAAAATAAAAAAAGAAAGAAAGAAATTGGCTGTGATTAGTCACCATTTATAACCAAACCCAAGTAGCTGGAGTTTCTTGTCCCACCAGGTCCCGCCACTGTTTTAGCTACAAATAAGGAAACACAGACTTATATTATTAAACTGTTGGCCAATGTCTTGGGCTTCTTATTGGCTAGCTCTGTATTAATTATTAACTCATTTCTATAAATCTATGTATTTCCACATGTTCTTGGCTTGCCAGAGAATGGCCAGACCTGTTATTCCTTTGGCAACTACATGGCATCTGTATTTTTTTGGGGGGCTGGGCATCTCTGCCTAACTTTTCAAGAATACTCCTCATCTCCTAGTCCTCCTATCTTCTTGCCTCTATTGTTTTATTCATCAACAAATAAGAGAAACATATATACAGAAAGACATCCCCTATCAACCCCATTTAAGTGAAAACAAACATTTAGAAACAATATTTAGGAATGTGGGCATAGTTCTCCCCAAATTGCTTCCTGCTGTTTGGGGGCACTGTCAATCCCAAAGGGATCCAAAGAAAATCCAGATCTCTGGACAAATCCCAGCTCTAGTGCTTTGTAAGGCTGCATGGTCTTAGCTGTTTTGCATTTTGGATAACCTGGGCCACAGCATGAGGGGATCTTGTTAGATTAATCAAATAATCTGGAAGGAATTCACAGCTTTTCATCGTCATTGAAAACAAAAGCAGAACCTCTTTTCCTAAGTAATGTGTACTTAGACTTAAATTTTGAAGTCAAGGCATTTTAAATATATATAGGTTGGATTAATCCAGCAGCATTTATAATAAAATCTCTTTTAGCATTTGTTACTCCTTCCTTAGCAATCAAACAATTCAAAGACAACACAATAACATACATTATCCAGACTCTCTGTGTATTTTCCATCTTTACATTGATTTTTTATTACTCTATTTCTTTTATTTTTATTTTTATTTGTTTTTTGAGACAGGGTTTCTCTGTTTATCTTTGGCTGTCCTGGAACTCACTCTGTAGACCTGACTGGCATTGAATCCACAGAAATCTGATCAACTTCTGCTTCACAAGTGCTGGGATTAAAAGCATGTGCCACCTCATCTAGCTACTCTATTTCTTTTTTAAGGATTTTCTCTATCTTTTTTCCTCTCCCAAGTCTATATATATATTTTTAAACACATGGAATATACCCT